AGGTTTCTCAAACTCCTATTCAAATCTCGAGGCGTTCAGATTTTGCAAGGGGCTCGGTATCGAAGGGACGGGATGATATTAAGCCATGTCTAATTTTGGTGTTTTGCCTCCTTTGTCGCGGGCAGATCCCAAACTCGTCCCGGAGCATCTCCATCGTCGCGAGGTGGCAGCAGCCACCTGCGAGCCCCGAGGAGCTCAAGTCTCACACTGCTCACGCAGGGCAAGCTCCAGGACAGCCTTCTCTCTCCGCAGGAGCACACTGCTTCGTGAGAGGAAAGCTGGGCACCCTTATCACTGTGCAGACAGCCTAGGGCAGCAGGTTGTACATCCAGGAGGGTAGAAAGAAGTAAATCTCATCCCTAGCCAGGCAATGCTTGTAGCAGGCCAGCCTTTATCCTCTGTGTTGGGGGATGTACTGGAATGGGTTTTGAGTTTCACTGAACTGTAAGAGTGCACAGGGTCTGTTGCTGCACCTTTATATCTGGAATAGTTATCCATAACTAACAGGAGAACAGTTAAGCACACACAGCCTTCTCTCCTTCACTTCTTTGTTCTTCTCCTTTGCCTACATGCAGCTCCTGCAGGCTCAGCCTTAACTGCAGAACTTGGATCAGTCTGCAGGCCTGGGTCTGGTGTTGTGTACACTCACTGAAGGAGAAGTTTGCCTTGTGTTGTTGTTTCTCCTCCAATGTGTAATTGACAAAGGGACAGCACCCAAGGGACACTCACGCTCAACTCAGCTTAGGAGAGACTTGCATGGAGAACATTCAGAGCATAGATCAAACTTCCACCACTCTGACCTGGTCTGGAGGAGAGCTGACTCTAGGGAAGGCTGTTTTTCTCTGTCAGCGACAGAGGGGGCTGATGAAAGGCTGAATGAGCTGTAAGGGTGCTGGCATGTCCTTCCAGCAGTGCTGGACGAAAGTGTGGAAGGGTTTGCACACTTCATGTGCAAGGAGAGCTTCCTTGGAGATCGAGAGAACTAAACACGACTGACTTCTTGATTAATAATTGAAATATTTAGAAAACAAATAAAAGATGCTGTTTAGGGTTCAGGGTATGTTCCTATGATGCTGTGGCTGTTGGTCAGAAAGAGCAATTCTGCTTTCTGCTATGCAGAATAGCAGAGCTGTTCAATAATGCATGACCAGGTCTAGGAAACTCAGGTTCTAAAATAGTATGAAGTTTTTCCTTCTTCAGTTTCTGGAACAGCAAGTCTTGCATCCTGTCTCTAATAGCAGTTGTGAAAGTCTGCGTGGTTCTGGGAATGGAGCAGCCAAGACTGTGTCAGGGAGGCAATCTGCTCCTCACCCTCCTGCTACTGGTGCTCCATCAGTAAAGCTTTTTTCAAAAAAAAGCTGGCCACAACAACTTTGTGATGCTGGTGTGCACCAAATCAGAAAGCTCTGGCAGCTGACCCAGAGCAGCCCTTCTGTGGCAGAGAGAAGAACCTATCTAAAAACCTTGTGCTTTGTAGTGGTTTTACCTTAAGGAGCTCTAAGAACTATGAGAAAGAGAATTCTTAGAGCCACAGTAGCTGTCACCTGCTTAGAGGTAATCAAAATTTTAAACTGAATTTATCTCAGCTTTCTGCATTTGAATCCATTTCTTGGAGGCACAAGTTTTC